TCCTTTTCCCATTTTCCCCTCCCTTTTCCCATTCTTCTCTGACTTTACCCACGCTCTTCACATTTTGCCATTCTTTTCCCATTTTACCCATTCTTTTCCCATTTCCCCCATCCTTTTCCCATTTTCCCATCCGTTTCCAATTCTTACCCACCCGTTTTCCATTTTTTCCCATCCTTTCCCCATTTCCCCATCCTTTTCCCATGTTTCCCCATCCTTTTCCCATTTCAAGACCTCATAAGCCATTAATCAACTTCTAAATGACTTCTTACACAAGATAGGAGAGTCTCGACTGGCTGTTCCAGAAGGCTGAGGTTTAACACAGACTCCTGCCATGGTTGTTGGTCAGCCCACCACAGAGCTGTGCAGAAGGTCCTGAAGGTTGGAAGCTGAGGTTCTTCTCTCACCTCACCGCCTCCTCTGGGCAGCACAGCAGCTTCCACTCCTCTGCCCTGTGAATGAAGTCACGCTGTGGGACTGAAAAACTGAATAAAAAGCCCAATGGAATATCATCAGATTATGTCCAACTTCGCAGCCTGGCCGACTGTGCAGGGATTTGTTTCTGCAGACTGAGGGTGAAAGCTCTTCCAATCTTCAGTAACAACGGCAGATGTTTCCTTTAAACAAAATCATTGCCTTCCCCCGATTTCTTTCATTCCTGGCAGACCAACAGCCAAAATAAGACAGAATCACATTTACAGCCACAAACCTGCCTTGCATTCACTCCTCATGCTTTTGGGAGCCCACCAAGCATTGCACTGGGGCTGTCAGAGCTGCATGGAATGCCCACTTAGGAGAGCAAACCAGGGCCAAAATTGAGGCTGCATTCTGGTGAGGCAGAGCCAGCATCAAAAACTCAGCACTGAAAATTGCTTCAACCACTCTACGGTTCTGTATTCCAATAAATACATGGCAGAAAGCAGGGCTGAGAGAGGGGCTGTTCTGAGGAGAGAGGCTGTACCCCCCATCCTGCAGAGAGCTGCCTTCTTTCACGTCAAGAAATGCCATTTTCTCCTCCCTCATCTGTATGTTAACATTCCTGCACTTCAGCTCGTTCAACTCTGTTATTATCCAAAGGGCTTCCTGTTTGGGTTGGAGGAAATTGGTTTCATTTAAAATGCCCTTTTAAAATCCTCTTTTAGAAGTAATTTTATTAAAAATCTGCTCGATGGCTTCGCATTTAATTGCTAATAATAGTCCATTCAAATACCACTTGTAAACTCATCTGAGCAGGTCTTGACCCTAAGAAGCATCGCTGCTTTGCATGCTGGGATGCACACAGCAGGGGTGAATGCAGCAAATGCTTGCAGCAGGGATGCTGGCAGTAGGGGTGCACGAAGCACGGATGCACAAACAGGATGCACAAAGGAGGGATAAATGCAGTGGGGGTGCACAAACAGGGATGCATGCAGCAGGGATGCATAAAGCAGGGATGCACAAAGCAGGGGTACACAAAGAAAGGATGCACAAAGCACCAATGCATGAAGCAGGGGTGCACAAACAGGGATGCATAAAGCAGGGGTGCACAGAGATGCACAATTGGGATGCACTTGATTTTCTTGACACTCCTTTTTGCACCATCCTCGCTGTGAATGGAATCAAGCCCTGCAATTATTAGCAGTTTTTGCCCTTCGTATAAAAGAAATGGAGGGGGATGAAGGTGTGACTGTTTGCACCTAGGACCTGACAGGTTCTGGGGGTTGCTGGGGGTCTGCTCTTGGCTGCTGGCGCGGAGCTCGGCTGGGGGCTGTGATGGAACAGCCATGGCTGCAAGCACTTCTAAAGTGAGTTTTTCAGAAAGCTGCTGAGGGTCAGCTGTGTGCTGAGATAGGGGAGGTTTAGATCAGATACATCACAGAATTACAGAATGGTTGGGTTGGAAGGGATCTCAAGGATCACGAAGCTCCAACACCCCACCACAGCAGGGCCACCAACCTCCACATCTCATAGCAGCCCAGGGCCCCATCCAACCTGGCCTTGAACACCTCCAGGGATGGACGGGGCATCACAGCCTCTCTGGGCAGCTGTTCCAGCACCTCACCACTCCCATAGCAAAGAGCTTCCCCCTGACACCCAACCTGAATCTTCCCCCCCTTAAATATTAGGAGGAAGTTTTTCACACACAGGGTGGTGAGGCACTGGCACAGGTTGCCCAAGGAGGCTGTGGATGCCCCATCCCTGCAGGCATTCAAGGCCAGGCTGGATGTGGCTCTGGGCAGCCTGGGCTGCTGGTTGGTGACCTGCACACAGCAGGGGGTTGGAACTGGATGAGCATTGTGCTCCTTTGCAACCCAGGCCGTTCTGTGATTCACTGAGCCGAGAGAAGCCCGGGCAGCCACCGACATTCCCTGGAACCGCCCCGAGAACGCACAGCGGATCTCACAGCGGCGGGGCACGACGTCCTGCAGAAGCGGAGCAGTCCGAGGACGGGCTCTCGCATCGGAAAAGCAGCGCAGCTTTTCCCCGATGGAAGCGGAGGCAGCCGGTCCCTCCCGCCCCCCGGCCCCGCTAGGTGTCACTGCGCGACATGAAATCCGCGCTCGGCTCTCGCCCCGCTCCGGTCTGAACACATCGTGGATGGGCTTTCGGGCATCCCCACCCCGGCAGCCGCCGTGTCCCGGGCAGAGGAGCCGCCGAGTTCACTGCCGCTGTCCCGGTGGCTGCAAGGTGCAGGCAGTGCCCGGCCAGTGTCTCCCATTCCCATTAGTGTCTTTGTGACTGCTCTGGAAGCCAGCTGCTGCCTGAGGTATAGATTCAGGACACCCATCCCATCCCATCCCATCCCATCCCATCCCATCCCATCCCATCCCATCCCA